TCTAAAATGCACTAGATGGCAAATGGTTAAAAGTTCTGAGACATTTTCTTAAAAGAAAAAAAAATCTTAGGCATAAGCCCAGGACTTAAAACAGGGTGGCTATTCTAACTGAAGTGTAGTTGCCCCCCTCTCTCCAATGTGACCCACCACCAGCAGGGAGTCGAAGCAATGAACATCCATTTTTGGACACCGATTTTTTTTTCAAGTTGTTTTCTCTAAGGTAGTGGTGTCCAGCCGTGACCTAATGCTGGAATAACATGGGGGAGATTTTATTGATTTATTTTTTAAAGTTGAGTTATTTTGAGAGGGAGACGGAGCACAAGCAGGGGAGGAGGAAAGAGGGAGACAGAGAATCCCAGGCAGGTGCTGTGCCCTCAGCACAGAGCCCAGTGAGGGCCTCGAACTCACAAACCAGGAGATCATGACCTGAGCTGAAATCAGGAGTCTGAGGCTTAACCTACTGAGCTCCCCAGGCGCCCCAGCAGGGGGAGATTTTAAAGGAATATGGCGCCTGGGTCATACTCCCCTCTCTTGGAAATTGATTTAATTGCTCTGAGGTACAGCCTCTTCTTAGGTGATACTAACATTCAATCCGGTTTCAGAATTGGGTCCTATGCTTCCCAAGTAAGATATTAGCTACTCTTTTTACTTCCCTTCAACTCTGCAAGCCAATGAATGGAGAAACAGAACCCATCTTATAAACGAATTGTTGTCAGAAGCCATCAGCTCCGATGGCAAAGGGATGGATGGAGGGGGGAGAACCAAATGGTCTGCAGTTTTTATTGCTTCCAGGCAAAGACGACTCCATGACCCCACAGCACGAGTCTAAACAGGACTCGTAAGGAAAGGCGCCCAGAGGGACTGGGTATGATGTGTCGCGAAGGAGGTGTCAATAAAGAAAAGCCCAGGAATGATTTTGTTTCTTTAACATAAAGGCAATAACAAACTAAGCACAATAAACTTCAAAATACATTTCCATTTTTAATTTAAAAAATAAATAACAGCAAATCTGAACAAAATTTTGCTACTTCAATGCACATCTCCCTAACGGGCCATGTTTGAAAACCAACTAGTTTATAAAATCCTGGCAACAGAGCCTTTGACAAAGTTTGCATGAACAACTCACAAAACTGGACTAATAGAGGAGTTTAGGCAGCATGTGTGGGAGACCGGCTTTGGCTGGACTGTAAGAATCAGCCTGAAATCATCAACTTAAAAGGAAAACAATCTTTTCCCTTTTGTAGATTAAAACTGGTGGTTCCACTCTCAACCCACCCCAAGAGGAACTTACCTTTTCCAACAAATTTTAAAATCCCACTTGGTCAATGGTGCACGGACCTAAAAGCTGTTGTACAGAAACGTCGCTTCCTTTAGGTTCTCTCTCTTTCTCGTTCACTTAGAATCAAAGAAAGCTAGAGCCAAAAGGATTCTAAAAATCACGCAGCCTCAAATAAGTATCTTTGTTTTACATGAAGAAATTGGGGCCCAGGAACTGACTACAAAAATTGACTTGTCAAAAGATACATGGTCTTTTCTGTCCTGTTTTGTGTTGATGGGGGGCAGTTTCCCTGCTTTTTTCATTATATCCGAGAAGCGAGAGGAAGGAAGGGACAAATGTCAAAGGCTTCCAGATGCCTTTTGCAGGACAGCACGGACACGAGGGGACATTCTGGCGTGCTGGATGTGGTCTGGGTCTGGATCTGAGAGGTGGTGACACGGTATATACCCATGTAAAGTTTCGTCCATCTGTACCCCTGAGGTCTGGGTAGGTGACCATACGTACGTTAAGTCATGTCTCAATTTTAAAGGAAGAAGTCACCCCATAATCTGGGCGCCGGGGGAAGGGGAAGGTTCCCGAAGCTTGGAAAACGTTAACAAAGGTAGACTGCTACCTCGGATCCTGCTTTATCTCACTTGTCTCAGGGATGTGCGGGGTGGTAGCATTTTTCATGGGTCTCCCTGATGGGAAAAAATGACACCAATTCTGGAATCCAGGTGTGAAGGCGGAGGAGGGAGGGGCCCGTGACCCAGCAGCCTTATTTAAGGTTTCGCTTTCCTCTAATCCCACCGTCTTGCCAACCTCACGGTACGACACAGTCTGTATACCGGGCTGTCCCCATTGAACACAGCGAATTGCCACTGCCCGAGGGTTTCGTATGGCGTCGGGCATTCAGTGAAAGATTAATAAATGTTGAATAATAGTTTTCAATTCTTGAAAGAGAAAAACAAACTCAAAGGAAGACAAGTCACCGGAACCGAGAGAAAAGAAGGGATTGAAAAAACCCCCATAAACTAATATCCACAAAGGTTGTGACGGTTGGGGGGGAGGGGGGCTACTTCCAATGTTGTTCAATACTGCAGGGTTCTTATCAAGGAAAATAAAGGCCAGCTCTTCCCCCTTTTATTCCCAGGCCCTCATCTCTCCTGTATGTAAGGTAATCGTACGGCATTTCTTTTGTAGGACAGGTATTATTTATGATCTTTTGTCCGACGTGACTTTTTCTGACCCAATGGTTTCCCAAAGGAGATAAAACTTCCAATGTTCCCTGTAATCTGTGATTCACTTCATTACCTAGAACCCTTTCTATTCAGGCAGCAGAGACCCAGTATTTCCATTAATGTGGAAGGGGAATCATATGGAAAGACAGACTGTATTGAAAAAGGGCACTGGGTGTGTCGGATTTCCCCAGCCTCTCATCAAAAATCACACCGCTGAACTCGCTTGCGCTACTCTGAAGGGACCTGCTTGAGGCTTGGTATTTTTTTGTGACCCAGTTTACATCTTTCTCTTTTAAAGGCAGCTTGAAAAATATGGTGTGTGAGGCCTACAGGTCCCCACTAGCCAGTCTGCGAGGCAACATCTCAGAAGCTGCTCTGGGCTCCACAGAAGCCCAGTATAACCTTTCCATTCCTTCTCTTTGTTCTCCTGCGTTCTTTCCACTAATATCCTTCCCGGTTCTTATTACTGCTTCTTCTTGAGTCATAAATAATTACTCCAAGAGGTGCCATCTTTGCAAAAGGGGCCGTATGCGCACAGCTAATTGGCACTCACGTTCCCAATTACGTTGGGGGGAAAAATATACGTGCTGTTCGCTGGTGGCGAATTCCAGATCTTACTCGGGGCCAGGAGAGACAAGAAAGGGCCATGTCGCACCTACTGCGTCACAGGGTCGACCTCACGGGAACATCACCTGTGTGGTGTTATCCCTGTTTCGACAGATAAAAGAAATGAAGGCTCAGAGGATTTCAATTTGAGGGAGTCTCCAAGTTAATGGACGACATAGTTGGGATGGTCTGAAATGAGATGGTTTCCTTCCAAAGCCCAGGTTCTATTTGACCCCCGTATAGGCTCTCCTGAGTAGGGGTGAAGCACGACCTTTTCCTCACCTCTTTTAAATGCGCACTTATACTAACTGCCTGAGTGACGCTGGCCATGTCGCAGAAGGTTTATACGTTCCTGACTCTGTGAGGAATTAGTATGTCTCTCCTCAGAGGGGTGGCGTGGAAACAGGCCCACAAAGAGGCAGGCAAGCAAATCCCGGAAGTGAAATCTCTCTCTCCTCTCTCTACCGCGGCGGGGAAGGGGATGGGGCCTGGTTGTGGGAGGGGTCTGGTGAGTTTCCCTATAGGCTGACCTCGGGGATCCACCACAAGTTTTCCACTTTGTCATCAACACCCAAGTAGGATAGAAACATCTGGGACATTTCCACTGTTGTTCCAACTAGGGATAGCTATCATCATGGAGTTTGGCAGGGCCGTCTTCTCGATCCAGGCGCTATCTGGGGAGAGAGCCTCAATTAGCAAGCTGGGGCATTAGTGAGCATGTGTAGTCAGACTTTCTGTGTTGAGCCTCAATTTCCTTTTCGACAACACGAGGGGGTTGTCTGTATGACCTTGAAGGCCCTTCTAGCTCAAAACGCCTTTAGCCTTGTGTGGTTGTTGATGTGTGTGTATGGAATGTTTGACCATCGAAATCACCCCATTTTCTTCTTTGGAAAGGAGCACTGACATTAGTACCATAGACATGTAATCGAATTAATTCCACAATCACGAGGAATAAATAATCAAAGGGAGATATTGCACTGTATTCTCCAGGGTAAAATCAGGTTGCAGAGAGGGGCTGCTGAGCCATCCAAATGGGATCTGGAAGGGAAGCTGTTGAACCTGGGGCTTCTAAGGCCCTTCTGTCCCGTGATTTGAGCTCAAAGGAGATAACAGGACAAGAAACTGTGCAAAAGAAAGAGCTTCAAGTGAGTCTGTAGCGGGAAGGAGTTACTGCCTTGTGCTGAGGGCCGTTAGTCGGGAGCATGAGGGGCTCCTGGGAGGGGGTGGGGGCAGCTTTCCCGTGCCACACATGGCGGGGACGGGGGGTTGGTGGTGCAGGAGCTCAGACCTCACAGTGGAGTCCATGTTTTTTCAACAATGATAACTATCCACACTTGAAGGTAGCCAATCTTCATTACAAAGACATTCTTTTCCTCAAAGGAGACACAGCAGACCTCAGAAAGATAGGATTATTTTGGCTACTGAAGTACTTGAGGTGGGTCTCTTCCAATGTCACTTGGGACACGATGTGCCCACGTGAGAAAACGAAGTCTCAAGCATAGTTTTTCAGAAGCGACGCAAGAAATCCTTCCAAAGAGTAGGTTCCTGGGGTGCTCCGCCATCACCACAGAAGAACTTATCCAGGCTTCTGTAGGCCTCAGTGGCTCTGCATTGGGGGCTGAGTTTAATAGTGGTGAGGGAGATCTCTCTTTTGAGAGACACACAGGACGCGGCCAATTTTAGAATTCCACGTGGAATGGAGGAGAGGCAGCGTGGCCTTAGGCTTCTATCAAAGAGAAGCCTTTCGAAGACCAACCAGTTCGGAGCTGGTGAATCTGACCCCGGATCAGGAAAGGTGGTCAGCAAGGGGCCCCAGGGAGTGAGGACAGTTTCACCTCTCAGGCATCAGGTGTTCAAGGTGTTCAGGAGTTCCAGAGAGAGAGGGGACAAGATCCTTATTGGGATCCAGGCTCAGAAGAAAGCAAGCCAGATTTCCGAGTTTTTGGAGGTGGTGGGGGTGGGACTTTGGCTTCTCTTCTGATGGGCAGTGGGGGAGCAATCTGAGGGAACAGACACAACAAGAACCAAATGAGTCTTCCCTTTTTTCCTAACCTGCCTTCTCCGCCACATTTCTGACATTGTGCTTTAGCTTCTAACTGATCTGAGTTTGTCTACACAGGCAAGAAGGGAAAGAAGACTGATTTATCCTCCCTTGTCCTCTTTGAGTTATCAAGATATTCACCAAAATGTTATGTCCCCAACACTAGGGCTCTTGGCACATCTATGGTACGTACTCAATAAATATTTGTTGAATGAACAAAGGAAACTCATCAGAGGTCATTCCGTTCACTCAGAAGGAGTAAACTCTTCAAATGTGAGCCAGAACTCACGTCTTGGGTCACTCGCCTGTGCCCACAGTGACGTACAGAGAAAACCTCTACCTTCAGTCTGATGAAAAAGTCTACTTGGATTTCATTACTTCCCACTGCAAACTCCCCTGTTTTTATGGTTTCAGGAATGAATCAAGAGTTGATGAGAGTGACACATCTCTGGGAAACCTGCCCAGTAAAAAGCTTGGAAAACCGACCCTGCATTCCCACGAGTGGTGTTCTCTGACCCCAGGGCCGGCCGGCGTTCCCTACCTCTGTGGAGTTCCTCTGGCCGCTCTCATAGGGCTTGCTTTTGGGGGGAGGGGGAGGCGGGACACCAGTAGTCATCAGCCCATCTGTCTGCAAAGATGGCGAGCCTAGAAATGATACAAGTCGATGAAGGCAGAGAGAAGAATTCATCAAGGCATCTTATAGAACCTCTGCTTGCCAGTTTACCACCTCAACCTGGTCAATCGAATTGCTAAGATCATAGGCTATGGTTTCTGTGGCCAGAATGGAAAAGATCTCTTGCCCCATACATGACAAATGTAGTGCCGTTTACTCACCAGAAGGCTTCACACGAAGTTCTGAAGTAAAAATCCCATTTTTTGTTCAGGGTTTTTACTATTACGCTGGAGATAAAGACATTTTCTAGAACTTATGGTGTTACTCTATTCTCTGATATTTCCCAAGGGCTTAGGAAAAAATGTCACAAAGTAAGTGGTCGATAAGTATTGGTTAAATTGAACTGAACTTAGTTGTATCATTTGAATGGTGCAATATCCATTTCCTCCAGGAAACCTTAACCTAATTATCTCTAACTCTTGATTGACTATTATGTCCCATGTGGCACAATGATTTACTCCTCCATTCTTCTTACCAAGGATACCTTGTCATTCTTCTCAGGCACTGTGTTATTGCTGATTCCCCAGGCCTGACTGTAAATGGTATATAGAACAGGTCTATTTCTTGTCCTTTTTGGGGATCCTTTCCTATACAAAGTACAGGGATATCGACCCAATAGTTTGTAAGTTACTTGCTTCCTGTCTGGTCCCCATCTGACTCTATCTCATTTATACCTTCACAACTGGAAATGGAGTAGTGAGACCCTCTGGGTCACTATACAGAGAAGGTTAACGAGTCCCAACAACCCAAACACTCCTTCTCAAACTCTTGATTGTCCTATAGCACCCACCGTGGAATGAATCAACTTTATAATAATCTCATATACAGTGTGGCTGTTCTGGCTAAAAATTGCCCAGATCCATAAACATACTCTATTTCCTACTAAAACAGATATAAAGGATACGGCTACATCTCTCTATCTATCTCTATATAAAACTTACTTAGGGTCCTGGTAGCTTTAGGAGTGAGTGGAGGCGGGCTCAAGGGTGTTGACTGAGGAGGCGAAGAACCATGAAATGGCGTCAGCCGATTGTCCGACAACTGGAGACTCTTTGGCCTTTGTGCTTTTCTGGCTGGGCTCTAGTCGGGGTGGGGGAGGGGACACAGCAAAGCACTCTCATGGTGAAAAAGGCTGAGCTCATCAACGCTCTGAACAATCTTGCCTGTCAGAGGGAACAATTCCAGGAGCCATTCTTGAGCTTGCCGCCCTGCCATGTGGTGACCGTGGCAAAGACAAGCACAGGGAATCACTGAATCATGCTTTATTTTCTGGCCAGCCACGAGCCTGATTGTGACCACAGTTGGATTATATTATTTAGGTTGGAAATGAGCCATCTTGATTCTCAGGGAAGGCTGGTCTTGCCTTCCTTGATGCGGCTCATGAAGAAAAAAAAGCACCTTTTTTTTTTTTTCTTTTTTTTTAAAGTTAAGAGAAGAGAAAGGACTGTGTTTGGACCAACTCATGGAACATGGTGGTGAGAACCACAACTCCAAGCATCAACCCACATGTTTACATTGTGGGTACAAGGTCTTGCACCACTGATTTAGACGCTCAGATTCTCCATATGTGCTTTTCCTCACCCAGTCTAAGATCTGACGTTGCCACAGGCTGCTGGGTCCTGAGGAGGCACGGCCAGGCTCCCCCCTGGTGACTCCCAACTGTGACGTGAACGGCGATGTGCCCAGCTACGGGGGAAAGCACTAGCAAACCTCTGCTGCTTGTTTGCTTACCCCACCCCCCCGTTTTTGTTCGTTCATTCATTTGTTTTTTTACCATCAGATCAGGTTCTGATGCTTTCTCTGCAATGACCTGGGACTTGCTCAGGCTCCAGTCTTTTCTCTTGAACTTGCTGATCCGGTTCTCCGTGTCCTCTTTGAGGGGGAGATCTTCAACTCTGGCACCTGACGAAGCTCTGCGCTCCAAGAGTGGCTCCAGGACTGACCTATTGGCCGAGCACAGGGGCAAAATCACAAAACACTGACCACCCGACAGTCAAAATGTGCTCCAGAAAGACCAGGGGTTATGCCCCCTCAATCTAACCTTGACCTGTGACTTCCTTCTCGGGCTCTAAATGTGCATTTCGAATTGCCAATTAAACATCTCAAGGTATACGTGTACAGAAATGAAACCGTCACAGTAGAGGAGGAAAACATCTCTGAATATTCATCTTATCCCAGGAAGAGAAAGTCTTATTATATTTACAAGCAAAGACAGAATTCATGCAGTAAAAGATGAGTAAGCAGCCTTCTGCAGTGGATAATAACACATGCCCCAGGGACAGCCAGCTGTGCTGAAATCCTACCTACACTTGCTTCTTGAGTAATCTTGGGCAGATAATCTTTCCATGCCTCAGTTTCCTTATCTGTTAAACGGGGACATTAACAGTACCTACCTCACGAGGCTACTACAAAATGCTTAGAATAAGTGCCTAGTATATATGTGTCCTCCTGAAATGGTTTTATTACAGTGACAGGTTTTTCAAGAACCATAGTGACAACTAATTCATTCAAGAATTCCGATTGAATGCTACGGAGAGAGAGCAAGAGTTTGAGGACAAACGGGAGAGTCTCACAATATTTCCCCATACGTTACTTATTAACTACAAAGGGGAAAAAAAATAGTAACCGTACACGGAAAAGAAAATGGTCAAAACCTTCATCACGTACACAGTCAATTAACATCATCAATGGGGGACAAATGGACATACTGTGCTTCTGGATATGATACCTAAAAAGGAAACATACAAAAACGTATAACCCGAACCCTAAGCACAAGGGAAAATAAGACAAACCCAATCTCCCAAATGAAGGGAAATCCTATAAAATAACTGGCCCGTCAGTAATCTTCAAAAATGTCAACGGTGCGAAAGCCAAGATAAGGAGGGGCCAATCTGCTTCAGATTAAAGAAGAAAAAAATTCAACATGGGATCCTTATTGGATCCTGTAACAGATGTTACTAAGTATAAAAGACATTGGAGGGACCACTGACAGAACAGGAATATGGGTTAGAGCTTAAAGTATTGTATCGATGAGAGACTACCTGAACGTATGGGCTGGACTGTCGTACGTAGTTCTGGAAGACGATATGATTGTTCTTAAAACAGCACGTATGCAACCTACTCTCCCATGGTGGAGTAGGGGTTGGGGGGAGACAGGGACAGAGGGAATGACTATGGGATAATGTAAAAACAAGCAGGGTTAAAAAAGATATTTTACCTTTTATGATGGGTATTGCTTCTGGCTTCTGAATGGGTATTTAGTAAGCCTTGGTTTGATTAAAAATTGATAGATTTTGCTCCATAAGAATAGAAAGTTTGGAGGGATGAACAGGCAGAGCACAGAGGATTTTTAGGGCAGTGACATCATTCTGTCTGATATTACGATGGTGAACGCATGTTATTACACATGATACATCTGTCCAAACCCACAGAACTACAACACCAAGAGGGAACTCTATGGTAAACTATGGACTTTGGATGATTATGATGTGCCAGTGTGCATTCCTCAGTGGTAAAAAATATACCACTCTGGTGGGGGATGCTGATGATATTGGGGGCTGGGCCAGTGTGGGAGGACAGTTTACTGGGAAATCTCTGGGCTTTCTTCTTAATCTTGCTGTGAATTTACAACTGCTCTAGGGGGCGCCTGGGTGGCTCAGTTGGTTGAGTCCCACTCTTGATTTCAGCTCAGGTCATGATCTCATGATCCTGGGATGGAGCCCTGCATTAGGCTCTGTGCTAAGTGTGGAGCCTGCTTTAAGATTCTCTCTCTCTCTCTCTCTCTCTC